TACTGTGCAGATCATGACTTCTGGTGCGGATACTTTATGTTTGAGATGTCTTTCAGACAGCCCAATGGAAATTGTGCATAGACACACAAACCTAGACTGGAGGTGACTGCATATCACACAGAGCATTTTCTGCCACTGCGGGGGATGAAATTACCCAAGGAGAGAATAGAATGAGAAGGAAAATGTCCTGATGAACTACATTTGGAGGTGAGATAAAGATAGTGAAACAGCTGGAAAAATAGTATGGAATCTAAAAGATGGGAGTGATTCGAGACAGAGGAAGCTGTCAACTACGAGGAATATTGCTGAAAAGGTGAGTGTCTCTCAAAAGTATTTGCTGGGTTTGGCAACATGGAAATCATGGACTAATTTAGCAGAAGCAGTTTCCAAATGGATAGAAACCAGCTTGGATTGAAGTGAACCGGCAACAAAGTGGGTGGGTAGAGTCAAATCCTCAAAGAAGAGTAGAGAGACCAGCAGCAGCTGTCTCTTGAAGGAGAGGAGTGAGTTATGACCTCCTAAAGTTTCACCCAGGCCAGTGTTCTCCAAATTGGCAGTCGTGATGGCTTCCAAACCATCAGCCAGGGACTGAACATGAAGAGCTCCCTTACAGCTCTAGAAGACAATGCACATGGGCTCAGAGAGTGGGAAGGGCCTTTAGCTATGGCCAGATGTGCCCCTGACCTCAGCTTTACTTCATTTACCCCAGGCCCAAGAACCCCAAACCACATCCAACGTCACGCAGGAAACCACTTGGGTATTGGGCTCCAGCATTCAAAACTGTTTCGTCACAAAAGTCTTCAGTCTCTATCAGAAAGCTTCTGCATGCCCAAGAAGTATGAAGAAGGTACGGACAGCCTCCTGACACCCTGTCTGGTCAAGAAGATCTGACCCTCACTTTCTCTTTTCCAGACTGTGTTATCCTAGGCTCTCCCCAACAGATCCTGACCTACCTTTCAGACCTCATCTCCACTCCTGTCCTTCTTGAACACTCTACTCCAGCCTACTTACACCCTTAACACCTTATATTTTCCTACCTCCATACATTCATTGTTTTCTCCCTTTGGAATCAGTCCTTCCTCCTTGTCTAACTGAATGTCATCCATCCCCCAGAGTCCAGCTCAAATCCTTTCACCTCTAGAAAACACTGCCTGGTCTCCTACCTCTCACGCATTTCTCCTACACTGCTGGGGAACACTGGTTTTCTCTGCATGTGTTCATACCTCCTACCAGTGTAGGAGCAGGAGTCTGCCTCCATATTCCTTTGTTTTCTTTGCTGGTGCCTGCACAACAGAGGCACTTGGTAAATATTTGTTTACTGATGGGTTGATTGAGAAAAGCCAGAAGCCCTTCCTCCCTGAAAAATGTGAAGATTTGCAGCAGTTTGTTCAAGGTTGCATTAGCAGGATTTGCCAGGGCCAAATGAGAAATAAATAGGTGCTACAAGTATTCATCGGCCTGGTTCCTACAGAATCATTTTAAGAAGCTTCAAGTCACTTGAGTTCAAGTTCAAATTAAGCTCTGGCCATCACAGCCATCAACTTTTTCAAATACTCTTTTAGAAACCTACTCCTTCTTGGAAAGTTTAAAGTTTAAACCACAAAAGCTTGTATTTTATTTTAATCCTGTAGACAGGTTTCTTGCCATTTTAAGCTGTAGATTTCCTCTGGCACAGTCCTTTCCAAAATATTGAAAAGGCAGCATTCTAACCCAGACCTTTTCACCATATCACACTTCACATGACAGAACATTGCA